ATGAGGGGCATTTATAGAGGGAAAAAAAAAAAAAGAAAAAGTGAGGGAATCTTTTATCTTTTAAAGACACGATCGTACGTGACTACCAAATAAGAAAAAAAAAAAAACAATCTGCTTACTAAATATTATTATTATTATTTTTCTTTAGGTTTTTGTGATGTTAGATATCCGTAATTTCTTGAATGTGTTTCTTTCGAAATAGTATTATCTCTTAAATGGATTAACACATACCCAATGTCTAGGAAATTTAGGCTTCATTTTCGGGTACGTTGTTTCTTATTCTTACCTCAATTCTATCAAAATTTTGGTGAAAATGAGTATTAAAAAAAACAAAGAGACAGAAGGGTGAAAATGGTTTTTTTTTTTCCCTTTTTAGAGAGAAAAAGGGAATTTTTTTATGAGATCTGATTTTCTATGAGATCTGATTTTGATCATGCATTAGTGCTATATACCTTATTAGTAAATAGTAACAGTCATTCTAAAAGGTCAACTATCTTGGTTTCTTTCCCCCTATTTTTTAATTTATTTCATTGGGGTTGGAGATTTGAACTTTATTTTTTAATTTATTTATTGGGGTTGGAGATTTGAACTTTAAGGGTGTGTTTAGAATTCGTTCTAAAATGATTTTATTTTTTGTATGAAAATGAAAATGAAAACTTTTTTAATCTCAGACATAAATTATTTTTGAAAATGTGTTTGGTAGTTTTATCAAGAGATTATTTTCAGTATAAAAAACTTATTAATATCTCTCTTTCTCTCTCTGCTCGAGAGAGGAGAAAACGAAAATAAAAAATGAAAAACGACTAAAAATTATTTTTTATTTCTCTCTCATTTTACACTAAATTAAAAAATCATTTTCATTTTTATTTGTTGTCTTTATTGCGCCAAACACCGTTTTAAAAACGTTTTCATTTTTTTCTCGAACAACGTAAAAAACAAAAATAGAATTAATTCTAAACACGGCCTTAATCTCTTATTAGCTCTAATGCGGTCATTAATGAGGCTAAGAGAAGGCGATACGGACGGAATGACTATAGTAATTAAGCTAAAACATCTTCTATTAATATCATGGTTCTAAGGATGATGCCCATAGTTTTCTTTGTCAATATCCAAATCCCCTTTTCACTATCTAGGTCGAATCCCTGCAAATCCTATCATCTTTTCGGGACTTCATGTAAAGGAAGCAATTGAGATGTCGTTTGCCTAAAGTTGCAACCGATGCAAGTAAGTTGACACGGCACGACACATATTTTGAAGGCCAAAGCATAGGATCCACGGCCACATTGAATGTCATAGTTTTGGAAGTTACAAGCGTGTGGTGGCCCCTTTTCTTTCTTTTGGTCTTTCTCCAAAAATAAACTAAAAATAAATAAATATAAAAAATATAAAAAGAGAAATAAAGAAAGAAATTATACATATATATATATATATCAATTCCCATATATATATATTTATATATATATAATTTTCCAATATGCATTTTCCCCACATTTCTTCTTTGTTCAGAACTCTCAATTAATACTGTCTTCATCTCTATACCTACATTTATTCCTGCTTTCATAATTTTGACTTGTCCTTTTGTGTCAATATTAATTATTGTCATCAACCTTCTGATAGAAAAAGTTGCAAAAAAAAAAAAAAAAAAAACACACACACACACACACACACACATTTGACTCTAGATGTATTTAGAAGCACAAAAACAAAACCCATAAAAGAATTCTATGGTAGTATGAAAAAATATCTTCGGTGGGATACGATTATGAACCAAAAGATCGCATCAAACTCATATTAGATCAGAAAAAGTAAAAACAATTTAATATAACTCGATACAGATGTGACGATTGTACCTTACAAGTAGGGAAAAACTCCTACTATAAAATTTTATAAACAAGTGCTTTGAGTTGTTTAGGGAAACAAGAAATCTGACCCTAATCCAACTTAGACCGGTGGTATGCTTAATTATGTAATATATTGTGGCTGAAAATAGGAGTTGTGAAATTTTGATACGTACCTATATTTTCTATAATAATGGCAGCTTCCTGAAGTATCTTTGGAGTAAATTATAATAGAATAATTATTTTAATTTTTAAAAAAAAAAAAAAAAAAAAAAAACTTAACCAACCACCTAACTTTGTTAAGTTTGTAATGGGTCGCCTTTCCTATGCCTGATTATCATACCCTTTAAATTGGGTGCACAATCTGGTTTCATATTCATTAGGGTCTTTCTTATCCAATAATTCATTTCAGGTACATTTTCCATTTCCATTTCCAAGGACAGTCTAGTGGCATTTAACCGCTTTTTTCGCTATAAAGAGTATACTTGTTATAATTGGGACAAGCACAAGCTCCTTCAATTTTTACTTGTAATAGGAAAACCAGTTGGTTTTTTTTGTATAATTTGATGGCTTTAAATCATCCCCAACATGGTTTTCCATCAATCTAATTGTGGGGGTGAAATGAGACCCCAGAAAACGACCATACCTTTGAATTGATGGTGTGGCTTGAAGGAGCTTTTCTTACAATAAAACACGAGGGAGAAAAAAAAAAAAAAAAACAGAGAGAGGACAAAGAAATGACGATGCTCAATTTAAGGACAACAAACTGTGTTGAGCAGGATGTATCGGGTAGCTCATAACAAAACGTTTTGACAAAATAAAGTACGTGTAGTAATATTAAATAGTTGACTAATGATTAAGATTAGAGAATTTCTCTAGTAGTCTCTAGAAAAATAGAAGATTATCAGTAATTTTCTACTTTCAGTCGTCAGATCTGCGTCATAATCTATTTGTTCTGCATATTTTTTTAATTTGATGTGATTTTGATCAGATTCAACCGTCAAAAATTAGAACCATCGGTGCACTAAATTACCAGAGAAGGTCTCATAATATTAACTCACTTAAGATTTACGGATAGGATTAAATGATGTTTGAAGCTCTCATGCCTAAAAATAGGGGGAGATTGGTAGGTGAAAGGTATGTTTTTCTTTTTGTTATGCAATTTTTGACTCGAGTGTCAGAGAGTTCTCCTTGCAAGTACCCAAGATCCCTAACTCGAATTCGAAGTGGAGAGTAAGCGACGTGAAGTTGCTGAACAAATTCTCTCTCCAACACTGGTATCAATTTCAAATTTGTACTCGTCATTATAATACTTGAATTAATTATAAAAATTATCTTTGAACTATGAATTGTGTAACACTTAGTCTCAATATCTGTAAAACTTAACATCTATTCCCTAAAGTATGACTTATTAATAAAAAATCTCCATCTGTTAGAAGTTTTAACGGAATATTAGCTCATGATACATAATCTGAGGGTTTCAAGATTTATTTTAAAAAGAAAAAAGAAAAATCCTAGTTTTTTAGTTCTAATTTACTTATAATATATATATATATAGATGTTATGTTTTGAAGATCGTGGCGCAAAGTATTTTGCGGAGTCATGAGGATTTTTTTCATGGCATAGCAGAAATATTACGTCATTAGTAATCAGGTTTTGATTAGCTATTTTAAAATTATTTCATTCAATGTAAGTTTGTGAAAACATCCTATTGTTCTAATAAAAAATAATTGAATGAGTAAATAAAAACCAGAGAGAGCACATTTTAGCTGACATTATAGTATTATACCAATGTTTTTTCCTTCTCTATTTAAATAAAAACCAGAAAGAGCACATTTTAGCTGACATGATGGTATTATACCAATGTTTTTTCCTTCTCTATTTAAATAAAAACCAGAAAGAGCACATTTTAGCTGACATTATAGTAGTATACCAATGTTTTTTCCTTCTCTATTTAAATAAAAACCAGAAAGAGCACATTTTAGCTGACATTATAGTACTATACCAATGTTTTTTCCTTCTCTATACTAAGTAATGCTAACATCTACATTCTATAGATTATGATTTTTCTTTTTTCATGTGAATCCAATATTGTTGAGTAACCAACAATCTGTCCCAAGTTTCTAGCCTTGGAACTCTTGTCAAAAGACTAAAACAGGTGATTCCCTTTGGATTGAAACAATTTGTGAATTCGTAGTAACATACATGAAAGATCCAAGTTTTGTATTCTGAATTTAGTGGAAAAGAAAATGCAAGATATCATTAAGTATCAACCAACCTAAAGTGATGGGAATTTGATTTCCCACTTGAAGCAGGAAAGTTTTATTTGACACCCAAAATTGAATTTAGTGGAAGGAAGAAAATAAAAACGTGGGCTTAGTTGATCCATCTTTATCAAAGAAGTAAACAAAGATAGTTGTAGGGAGAAAACTAGAGATGCTTAAAGTGTTCCTACTTTTTTGGGCAAAATCCAACGAAAGTTAAAAATCTATAAGAATTTGTAGCACAATATGTATTAGACAAAATAGTGATATAATGTAACATACAAGTTACAACAGCTCAAGGTATTGTATTACATGCAAATGATTTCTTAAAGACTCACGGTTTTTTTAGGGAATATATATATAGATATATATATATATATATAAAGACCCACGTTTTTATTTTCTTATACAAAAAAGTACAAAGGACCCAAATTTTAGTTTTACACGAAAAAGTATGAAAAAAGATTTTGAATGATGAATCGTGTATTTAAGAAGAGAAGGCTCATTGAGACGTGTGGAAATAGTAAAACTAGTAAACCGCAAAGACTACAAAATGTGTAAGATTCCTTGGACTTTTTAAGTGAAATGAGATGTCTGAATAAGATTTTTGAAAGGACTAAAATCCTCTAACAAAAAGGATAGAAGTAAAGAATAAGACTTTTGAAAGGACTAAAATCCTCTAACAAAAAGGATAGAAGTAAAGAAACTACACTCTGTCCTCTAACAAAGTTAGAAGCCAACCAATACAATCCTCTCTCTCTCTCTCTCTCCCCTTTACTAGGTATGGAAGAGATCAGGTGACAAAAGGTCGGACAAGGAATAAAATCAAGCAATGAACGATTTATTGAGAGATGAAAGTTATTTACAGTTAAATTGGGTAATCACCCGAAGGATGACGAGGGACTGAATGTACATAACAAATATTTACAGAAAAAATATACATGGTTATTTTCTGATAAGAGGAAACTTTAGTTGCTGATATCAAAGTATTTTGGATCTGAAGGAAAATGATATTCCACATGCAACTGCAGAATGTAAACGACAGATATTGTGAGACTTGGTCAAATAACTATTTAGAGGATATATTACTTGGACAAGGACAGCAAATAATAGCCAAGCAAGAAAATGGCAAGCCAAATTTAACCATTTCACTAAAAACGTTTTAGCTTATGTAAAGATCACATTCTTAGTACAAATCTATGATTTTAAAAAAGAAAATGTATGATATACCTTTCCCTCGTCGGAATCTGAATGGCGCTGAGGGAACACCACCCTCAAATCACTGTACAGGTAGAAGCGGCGTTCCCCATCGATGTCCTTATTTCTTGCCGGTTCTGATGAGGGATCAGATTTACATCTGTGCAATGACCTTGAACTTTTCTTAGGTAAAGGGCATATAAAGCGCGCATGAAGAGCATAACGCAGAACACCGCCGCCATTAGCAGGCGGAGAAGAGGCCAGAGTGACCTTTTGGCGCAGAAATGTCTGTTTTTGACATGAAAACATGTGGAGAAACGTTTTCCATATAAGAATCTTACTTCAAACTATGAGTAAACAAACTAAACACCAGCAACAAGAATAATCAATGTACAATTTAAATATGGCAGACATTCAGTTGTTTAAAAAAAAAAAAAAAAAAAAAAAAAAAAAAAAAAGAGAGAGAGAGAATATATACATACATATACATATGTATATATAACACTAACTCCTCTAACTATAATAACCTACCTTTGTACCGGTTGGCATGTCACTCAAATCGTAGTTACAAAAGAATGTGTGTATTGGAGTCCTCTCTGGATTGCTGAGGACCTGCCACAAACAGTTTCAGTTTTATCAGTAGAAGATAACAAACTTCTGGTCTGAGAAAGTGTTATTCAGCAACTAAATAGATGCTTGTTCAAGGTTTGTGGGCACCAAAAAATCATGGATGATAGAATAGCCATTTTCTTTTCAGCAGAACAAGGTCATTCTTGTTTAGAAACTTTTTCTAAGCTTGAGTTACGATCATGAAGGAAACCAACTCTTGACTTGCAGTTGTAACAGAATCCACATTGGATATAAATAAAAAGAGATTTACATAGATTTTCCTAATACTAAACCTCAACGTCTAAAAAGAACAATATAAACTTTAGCTTGCCAATTATGTCCGTTAAAAAGGATTAGTCTACCGTTAAAACACAAGTTGGAGTTTTCGCAGTTGGTAACTAATAAAAGTGTGGACATAATCTAAACCACAAAGTACCAATTGTATGCGCCCTTTCATAGGTACGCGCAGTCTGCTCTTTTCTATTCCTGATTTATCAATGCTAAGGCTCCTTTTCATCTTGGAGCCTCTAGAGTTGTTCGATTCTGTGGTCCCTGCGAGATCTATTGAGGAATAATAAAGTAAGTAGTTTTCCCCATCCACACTGGTTACTGCAAATGGAAGTTTCTGCGGCTTTGGTGAGAAGTTCCCTCCGGTAACATTTAGAACAGCAAGGAAACCATCGATTCTCTGCATATGAGAATGTGTAACAAGCGCATTATGAAGTTCAAAAGCAAAAGCTATACTTGTGAATAAATTATAAAAGCGTTGAAGATAAAGATGCCAACCTGACTAAGTTTCCCAGACGACAACCGACCAGACAACAGGGATTCCTCAAATGAACCAACCAAGGACCTTCTAACAGGAAGGCCGCTCAGGGTTCTAACTGATCTGAAACCTTGAGGAGGAGTAAACTCCAAGTTCTGACTGCAATATCCTTCCATGTTGACTCCAGAGAAAAGGTCAAACTTTTGCAGCACATCATGCTCCTCGGGTGATTTACTTGACATCTTAAAAGAATGTTTACTCCAGGAAGATAAAGAGCCTGCAAGAGTTCCATTGAGTGACTGTTCCATGTCCTTTAATGTTATATTATCATCTTCTATCTTTGTCATAGTATTATTGTTTGTTAGTCTCATTCTTTCATGAAACTTTGGACCAAGAGGAGACAAGGAGAGTGGAGGTGAGGCCAGCTTTTTATGAGGAATAGTTATTGCTCCGGTTTGAGACTTTATGATAGACTCTTTAGAGCAATGAATTCCAGGTGACGATAGAAAATGATTGGGAGGTTCTGAATCCTTGTTTTCGAATAAAGGGCCATCCGTAAAGAAAATGAATTTCGCACCACAATTGTCATCTGGTGAACTCTTCCATTCTGCAAAACAAGAGGCAGACCAGTCAGCACTCCCAAAGTATTTTGAGTCCCCTATATGAGCTTTCTTGCTGTCTTGCTGAGCATGAACTTTTAAACTTGCATTACTTCTCAAGGAATCACTCTTGTAAACTCCACTACTACCAATGTCTAGATCATCAATCAATTGATCTTGGAGAAGCATTCCATTCAAAGGAGATAATAGCCGCTTCCGGACAAGCGACCCACTTGCCTCGTTCACATCACTTGTGATTTCAGTTGAAGAATGTTGAAGTCCATCTGCCACATTTAGAGGAGAGCTTAAGGTGGTTGATTCAAAACCAACAATCCTAGAAACAGGTGTATGAACATTCTGTACACTTTTCTGAGTCGGCCAGCAATGTTCTTCCATAGAGCCAATGTTCAATACATGCATGTTCGATCTACCATCCTTATGCACATTCAAAAAGTCGTGTTCCTTTGGAAGCTCCGCAATGGATTTACGTTGGAATCCTCCAAAAGAAAAGCACGGCAAATCAACCTGCATTCGATTGCCGAGGTTTCCTCCATGCAACCCACTCAAATCACAACTGCTCACACCAGCAATCCTAGGTGGGTTCTGCACAAATGTGCTCAAGGATGCCGCCACTTCCTCGGCAATACTGCCTGAGGAAACTTGAGGCAAGCCCATCTTCAAATATGACTAAAATGTTCAATCTAAATTTGTTTAGCTTAAAATCTTCTACTTTATAGTCTATTTAACTACTATCACTTCATTCATGTATCAGAACCAAGTTTCTTATCTATGTCCTCAGCAACCAAATGAGATACAAGTTTCCTAGCCATGTCAAATCCCCATTGCCCTTACATGCACTAATTTGTAATAGAGGCAATTACAATCTTTATATTAATGGCATCCCATTTCATTTTCATCAAGATAAGATGATAAGTCAAGCAGAAACCAGTAATCCAAGTGAAATAAGACAGAAACATCCTTTTTGCGCCAGAAATGGAGAGAGAATGGGGAGTTCAATGTCTCTTAGAAGCTAATTTATGATCCTGCAAAACGATCCAATCTGATCTGATATTAATAAAAGATGAGAAAACTAAATAAATAAGTAAACTTCATGTCATTTTTTTAATCGCATCATGTAAAGCAAGAAAAAAGATATATCCCATCGTTTGTCTTTTTAGCCTAAGCATTATAACTACTCTTCAGACATAGAAATACAAAGAAAATCAGTAACAAAATACAAAACTATTCTCAGGAAAACATGACCAACAGAAAGAAAAGAACATTCGACTTTCCTTCTCCAATGTGCACATAAAGATACACAACATATGAATATATAGCCATGGAAAATTTTCAATGATTCAACAAACTCCAATAATCTGCAAATGGGTCCATTTTGGCATGCCCAAAAATCGGAGACTCGACTAAGGAAAATCAATTTCCCAGTTAAATTATGGAATTCCCAGAACCCGAAATTTCATTTCATTACTTAAACCAGATGGCAATCTTTCAGAAAAAAGGATATCATCAAGTAATACAAAATTACAAATAAACAAAATAAATAAGAATCAATATCCAAACTTGATGAGATAAAGGCGATACCATCAAAAGCAAAGCTCAAATCATTCATATTAAACAACATAGACAAAATAAAGTTCATGATGCTTTGTATAAAATGGAAATAAAAAAAATTTAAAAAAAAATACAAAAGAGAAAAAACCAAAACCAACCCAATATTAAGAATCTCTGTCTTTCTCTTTCTCTCTGTGTTAGTCTGAATTTTTCTTCTTCTTCCTTCTCTTTCCAGTCTCTTCTTCCGTTCTGTTTGCGGTGACTTGCATGTCCATGTGTTGTGTCATGTGTGTGTGTCTCTCTCTCTTTCTCTCTCCTCTCTTGTCCTTTTCTCGATAACTCTTTTAATCTATGGATGTTTTTGGGTGGTGTTGTTTGGCAACTGAGAACGGTGGATGATTTTTTTTTATTTTTTATAATTCATGGATGATTATTATTATTATTAGCTTTATTGTAAGCCTCCCAAATATTCAAAATGGGTCATCTTTTTTTTTTTTTAACTTCACCCAGAAATTTTCCATTTCTACTCTGAAAACGGCATCATTTTTTTTTTTTTTTTGACCTTTTGGTTTACTTTCTAGATTAATGAACCAGTGGCTTCTCTGCGTATTCAAGTTGGCGGCTCTCTTTTTCTTTTTTTTTTCCTCCGCTAATTATTATAGAATAGAAAAAATATACAATACAATATACATACAATATATATGCGTATGTACATATTATATATATATATATTGCATTAAAAAGCATGTTGGGTCTACGTCAAACTTTGTTTTGGGCATCTATTATTTCACTTTGATCAAAAAGACCTTGTCCGCCATTCATTCGTATTCATACGTACATTGCCACGTGCCAGCCACGTGGTCCTTCATTTTCATCTTTCTTTTGATGCCATTGACCAGGAAGAATTTGTGGTAAAAAAAAACTTGTAAAGTTACGTGGTTGTCAAGCCAAAAAGGTAATTATATATGTATACATGCATGTATGTACATATATGTATATAACTAAAACAGTTTTTGTAGATGACACACGACCTCATGTATATCATTTGGCGACTTGATTGCAAATTTTTCTTTCTAAATTAAATTTTCTCTGTGCGTGTACTTTTTTTATAGATTATTTGTGTATATGAATCTGTTTAGTTCGTTTATTTGAGTTTTTAATTCGAATTGATATGTGACTTTATGTAAAATTTTTTTATTATAATATAAAAATTAAATATGACTGTTTCTGAGAATTTTTTACTGTAATAAAACTTAAATTTTAAACTCAAATCAGTAAAATAAACTATATTATAATATATAATTTATACCCGCGTATTAGTTGACTGTTTCTGAGAATTTTTTACTGTAATAAAACTTAAATTTTAAACTCAAATCAGTAAAATAAACTATGTTATAATATATAATTTATACCCGCGTATTAGTTTTGGCTGTGCTCGTGAAAGACGTATAGACATTTTTTTAGGAAATATATGGGTCATAAAAAAAGGGATTCGGAATCACATTAAAGTCAATACATTGCCGTGTTTAGTTTTACACAGATTGCCGTGTTTAGTTTTGTAATTTAATTTTCTAGCAACTCTATCATGGAAAATTGGAAGTTGAATTTCCCAACAACTTTGGCCCACAAATATAGGAATCTAGACTCCGCCGTCTATGTTGAATCTACATTCCAAGTTGCTTTTCCTCTCGTTCGTACAAAAGTGAAACCGTAAAAGAATGTTAAATGACAAATATCAATGTTGATAATTTATTAGTTCATTACCTCTAATTTTCTAACTCTTAAAATTTAATAAATAAAATATCAACTCACATACTTGATGTAAGTGTGCAGTGTATTCGTGTTATGATTTAAATTATAGTTTGTAATTTATTACAATATTTTTTTTTTATAAAAAATATTATAATTCTAAATTTATAAACCAAACGTTAATATAATAAAAAAATAGATCATAATAAGTTAGAAATAAAAATTAATAGTCCAAGATTTGGAATGCTATTTTAATATAAACTAGTATTTAAACTCAATTGTTCCTAGCTTCAATTCTCTCTCCTCATCTCCCTCTCTCTCTCTCTCCTCCCTTCTCTCTTTGCAGAGACCAGCACATTCAATAATTTCAAATTTCAAATTGACAAATGCTCATTTATGCAGTTCATCTCATAGTCAATCAAAACATCATTTTATCATAGGAAGTCGTAACAAGATGCCATAATCACACTCTCCGATCACAGATACACATTAGCTGAACGATTTCACGAAACTGAAATGAACTCGCACAGAAAATTAACTATTGTTCGATTGTCGCGAAATTTCGACGGTGCTATCGTTGCCGTCCGAGATCTACTGCCGGCTTGATGTTGTTGGCGACGAAGAGAGAGAGAGAGAGAGAGAGAGTATGATGCCTCTGGAGAAAGAATAGAGTGGCAGAGAGAGAAGAGGAAGCGAGAGAGAGAGAGAGAGAGAGCCGTTGGGAGTGAGGGGTTGAGAAGGAGAGAGAGAGAGAGCGTGACCGAAAATGGAGAACGCATCATATATTAGAGTGAGAAACATCAGGAAGGAGAGAGAGAGAAATAAACAAAAAAGGGCAAATTTGGAATATTGAAAACTGGAAAAGGCTCATATTATTTTTAAACTTTTGGTAAATGGGTTACGTTGACAAGTCTTAAAAATTGACTTATTTATTATGGCTCCGTTCATTTCGCCGATTCGAGTTTAGAATTTGAGTTTTATTACAGTAAAAAGCTCTCAAAAACAGTCACATCTAACTTTTTTACTACAGTAAAAAGCTCTCACACAAAATCACATCTCAACTCGAATTATAAACTCGAATCAGCGAAGTGAACAGACCCAATTGTACTATAAAAATTTCAGTGCATAACATATTTATAAAAGTGGAATTAAAATAAAATAACTTTTTTGAAATATTTTAGAAATAATGAAATTACCAGTAATTGTTATTATAATGATTCTTACATTTTATGCTACAAAATTATGTGATAGTTATAATAACAGTTGCAATTTTTGTTATTTGTAAAATATTCTACTTTATTTTACTACGTTTTAACTTGATTAATAAAATTATAGTATATTTATGGAAAAAAAAGTAATAAGAAGACTGCGCAATATTGCTTACCAAATCACAAGCCCACCTTATATTTTTTGGGTGTGGATCGAAAATTGTCATACGAATAAGAAGCTTGACCCTGCCACCAAGCTGCGTGTGGTGTCTTAAATTGAATCTCACTGTCCTCAACCGCGCATAGGTCACCGTCCATGCGATGTGCTCCACAGTGGCAATTCCTTCGCGAGATGCCGGCCTTTGCACGTTCTCTGGACTGAGATCCTCAGCGCTCTTGATCTCCTTCGTGGATGAAGATCCCAGCATCGCCGTTGGTCGGAGCTCTTCGATTGAGCGTCGCGCTTCAAGCCGACCTGTGCGAGTTAAGGAGATCGCTCCACCTTTCGCCACCATGGAGGAAATCTGCACTGCACCGCCAGATCTACGAACATCACACCTTCGGATCCGTAATACCACACATCCAAATCTGGCAATGATTTTAATGGAATTTTCTTTTTTTTTTTTTTGCATCGTTTCATGATTTTGGTTGTTTTACTTTTTTGTAATTTATTTTCTCAATTGTATGGTGCCGGTAGCGGCGGTTTTCGACATATTTGAGTGGTACTGGCCATAAATTTAATGGTTACCGGTCGAAAATTGGTATCACAAGGGATACCGATTGGTATCCGTAGTGATACCGGACGAATATTGAAGGACATAGTATGTCTGCTTGCGGCCAGTACCAGCAGTTACGGCGGTTACCCAAACAATACCTTGGAGGTTACTAGAGATGCAATAATAGGTCGAGCCCGTAGGCTGGCTAGACCCATCCTGACACTGTGACGGGCCGGGCCGGTACGACCTGTTACGGCCCATCACTGTTCAAGGCACGGCCCAACCCATAAATATTAGTGGGCTGGGTTGAGCCAACATATATTGGTCCATGGGCCAGCCTGGCACGGCCTATTAAAAATCATGGGTCAGACCGAGCTTAGGCTGGGTTGGACCGACCCATCTTGGCCCATGATGGGCTGGCCCAGCCCAACTCATCTAGGCCCATAATATATATATATATATATATATATATATTTTAGTAATTTCGTAAACATCTTAAGTATAATTATCCTTATTGTACTCTTTTTTCCTTACCAAGGTTTTGTCCCACAGGGTTTTTCTTAGAAAGGTTTTTATTTAATGAGGTAATCGTAAATAAAATATCATTTTTCGCATTTCCATTGACTATTCAAACTTATAAATTTGTTAACTTGTTTAAAATTTTAAAAATAAAAAATTGAAAATTACATGTTTAGATGGGCCTTGAGTGGGCCAACCCATTCAAGACTCATGGCACAGCTCATCCTGGCCCGCGACACAGTCCAGCCTGGCCCACATAAAATTGGCCCGTGGTGTGGACTGAACCGAGGTCATTCTTATACGGGCCGGCCCTGCCCGGCCCACAAAATTCATGGGCTGAGCCGCCCCAGCCAACATGGGCCTAAGGAGAATGGGCTGGGCATGCCCATTCTTACATCTCTAGTGGTTACCGTTTAGACTTAGGGGTTGTTCTTTTATATTTTTGAGTTAGGGTGATTTGAGTGATGATTTTGAGTTGAGTTTGAGTTATAACTTGAGTTGAAGTTGTAACTTAAGTTTGTGTTTGAATGTGCATATTTGAGTTATGATTTGAATTGAGAATCTTTTTGAGTTTGTGTTTGAATGAGTCAAAACTTAAATTTATATTGACATAGTATTTTAATAAAAACTCAATGGTGATGAAAATTTTTTAATAAGGTATATGGGTGGGGTTTTATTCATCTTTTCGTTGTGAATGCATAGAAAAAAAATCATCTCAATCAAAATTTAAACGAAAAAGTTATGACATTTTTTAGAATAGAAAAAATGTTGTTCATTAACTTAAATTCGAGTTTATGAACTCGAGTTGAAGGGGAAACTTGAACTCGAGTTTAGCCCCAAACTTGAGTTCAAACTCGAGTTCATACTCAAGTTCAAACTTAAATTTTATAAAATAACATGAACTTGAGTAAAGTTATAACTCAAGTTCAAACTTTTTTTGAGTTTTATTGTAAAAGAACAACCCTTTAGTAACTGGTATCACGTGGATACTGGTGGTATCCCTATGGATACCACAGGTGTCACAAGGGTATATTAGGTAATTCAAAATAAAATGTGTTGACAGGACATAGCATTCTCTGCAAATAATTTTTTTGTCGGCATAAAGTAAATCCAAGCCTTAAAACTCCGGTATTTGTGTAAGAGCCCATTCGACACTTCGAGTCCACTTATTTCCTGAGGCCTGTTATGGCCCATACATGAACAAATGGGCCCAATAAAATAAATAGTCAAGTTGGGCTATGAAACTGTAGTGAGATCTTTGCTTAGGGCACGAATATGAGCCCTTCTCCGCATTGAAAGTAGGGCTGGTAATTTCAAACACGACACGATAAAACGACACGAAAACAACACGAGATAAATGAGTTTAGACCGCACGATTATTAATTGAGTCGTTAACGAGCTGGTACAAATAACACGAAAATAAACAGACTAGATTCTTACTAGCCCGTTTAACACACTTAACCCATTTAATTATACGGGTCATTATCGTACCGACACGACCCGACCCGTTTATTAAGGTCATATATATATATATATATATATTAAGAGAAAACCCTAAGTTCTCTCTCTCATTCTCTCACCCGCCTCAGTCCTCACGCCCGCCTCAGTCCTCACCCGCCGTTTCCATCTCCATCGATATGGAAAAGATTGAGATTGAAAAGCCTTTCTGAACGAACGACCCATCTTCATCTCCATCGCCGTTTCAGCCTTTTTGGATTTTGATTTTGGGGGGCGGACGGGACCGTATCAGCTTTCCTCAATATCAACGACCCATCTCCATCTCCATCTCCTCCTTCTTCGTATTCAATTTCTTCTTTTAACTTGTTGCGTCTATTTGATTTTAACTAATATGCATTTTCTTCTCCTTTTTCGCATTCAATTTCTCCATCTCCATGTACATAATCTGCATTTTCCTAAAGCCTTGATTCAATGCATTTGGCGATTCCATGACGTAATTACCGTCCCTTTGATTTTAACTATGTAATTTTGTTCAATTCATTTGGCGATTCCATCTCAAGCTCAATTCCTTGCGCTACTATGATTGTAAGTTTGTTCTGGTTTCAGAATTGGTTGGTTTTAATGCTTGTTGCTATGGAATTGTATTATTGTTATTAAGACTTGTTTATGTGTAATTGTGAATGCGCTTGTACTCTGTGTATTTGTTTCACTTTGAGTGCTTTTTTTTCCTTCATATAATTTAGTTGTAAACAAGTCAATTTTCTTTTTACCATTGTTTTCTAGTTTGATTATTATTGAGTTAGTGCAATGCATTTTGATAATGTATATTTGTGAATGCACCCGTATTCTGTGCATTTGTTTCACTTTTAGTGCTTTGTTTTATTTTTATTTTTCTATATAGTTCAGTTGTAAACAATCTGTCAAGTGCCTTCTTACCATTGTTTTAATATTTGAGAATTGTTTTAGTACGATTTTTTTTCTTGTCTCAAACCTTTTAACATTTTGAACTGCTTGAATACATTTTTATCACAATAAAGGAATTTTGTGAATGTTCTTCCATGTATTCGGGTGTAAACAATAATTCGAGTGGCCCAATGATTTCTCTATGTTTGTTTCTAACATGAGAAGTAAATATGTAGCCTCAATTGTGAAATAACTTTATGACTTTCTGCTTGTTTTTGTTAAGAAACAAGATGATCTTTATTTTTTTCTCCCACTTGTAGATGGATGATTTGCAAGATGGAGTTGGAGTAAATTTAGAGTCAGGCAGCACTACTGCATCCGCTGCTGCTACTAGTGATGCACCTATTGCATTGGAGTTGGACAAGGATGTTGAGCCTAAAGCTAATTTTAAGAAGCCGACCAACATTTCTAAACGTAAAAAGAAGCATACTTCTGTTGTCTGGAATAAGTTTGAAAGGCTTCAAATGGGTGCAGACCATGAGCTAAAAGCCAAATACAAAGAGTGTGGTGTGATGTATATGGCTAATAGCAAGAATGAGACTAGAAGAATGCGACGTCACATGCAATCATGTGTACGTAGAGACACGCGTGATGTAGGCCAACTATTGATATCACAAGACAAAGGGACTATAGCATTGAGTGCAAAGAGGTTTGATGCTGAACACTTTCGTGAATTGATAGCAATAGTGATTAGTGCATGAAAATGCACCATAAATATTGCTTTTGATTTATATAATATTAAAATATTTAAGCTTTAATTAAACAAATCTATTATTTTTATTCATAATATTTTTAATTGGAATTTGTCTAGTTTTTGCTTAATTATTTGCAGATAAAAAGCAGTGTAAAAAGCTACACAAAAATAAGCCATGAAAGCCATGTTTTCAACTACCC